TATTGGCGTGCGTTTTACTGTAATTGTGAATGATTTTAACTTTATTCACTTAACGTCCTGTAGAACGCGGCACGAGCTTAAAAGCAGCACCCACTCGACACGACCGATGAAAGGTGTTCGCTTCCCCGTTTTCATTCATCAGATTCGAAACGAAGACGTGTAAGTGACTTTTTATTGGCGTGCGTTTTACTGCAATTGCGAAAGATTTTAACTTTATTCACTTACGTTGTGTAGATCATGGCATCGAAACGTAGAAGAACTGTAATGACTGGAGCGGAGCGAGTGAAATGCATCCGTTTGAGCGAGGCTGGACACAAAGTTAAAAACATCCAGCAGACACTTGGAGTCGGAAATCTATGAAACTTTAAAAAACAAGGCATCGATTCAACTCCTGATGACAAGCCACCATCCAGCGAGGAAGCAATGCGAATGGCAACAAAAATACGTCAGTATGCACAAGAATTACCAAACATCGGTGATCAACGGGACAGTTACTTGCAACTAGCAAGAAAACTGTATGACACGCAGGCAAACATTGTCATAAACCAAAGAATGCATCCAACAAAACAATCCAAAATAGACACATTTTTTCCCAAGACAGAAAAAAATAAACATTAAAGTACTGTACGTATTTTACTGTTGTGATTTTTTTTGGACACACCTGTATTGCAGTTTTTGTTCTCGAAACAGTTTTTGGACAGTATATTTTTGTATTTTATTGATTGTGTTGTTACACGTGCATTTTGTCAATATACTTGCAGGTTCATAAAGGACATGTACCATGCTCATTTCCCAAATTAGGAATTTCTGTTATCAGGACAAATTGGACAGCGCAAACACGAGTCTGCACTAGAGAATATTACTGTCGTACGTTAAAATTTAAAAAGAATCTATTTCTAGTCGTCACTAAGTGGCGCTATACTGTACGAAAACAGAGTATTAACTAATAAATGTCTTCAGGTCATGATTGTTAATATACATTGAGATTTTTTGGAGCATGTGCAGGGGAGTTTTGAGGGATTTCCTCCTTTGCGGTGAAAGAAATATTCAACTCATACCTAATTCCCCACCACGTCAAATAGTTATTTCAAAAACAAAAAAATATATATAGTCCCTATTTTTGTCCCAGGTCTTAAGATTGTAGAGCCAAAGTTTGAAGTCAATCGGACAAATTGTCTAGATCAGTTGTTCTTAACCTTGTTAGAGGTACCGAACCCAAGCAGTTCTCATGCACGGTCACTGAACCCTTAGTCTTCTGCCCTCGCCACGCGTTTGACATGAGAGCATGGCGTAGACAGCGAGTTAAACAATCCTCCAATAAAAACACGAAGATGAGAATCACACTATTTGGTATTTCTTTGGAAGTATTTCTTGTAAAACTGTACACAAACAGAATCACAACACGAATGTTTGTATAACATCCAATTATACATATGAAATGACATTCGACACTCATGTAACAGCCTTTCTGTAGCTTATTCAACAATTCTATGGTATCTACAGTGATTAACTGATGAAATATTTATATATGGCAATAAATAACGTGCACAACAAAGAGTAATATGTACAACTGTGTAAATGTAGTTTCAGATTGTGCCTGAATGTGTCTAACGAAAGAAGATGGAAGTGGATGTGATCACACCTCTCCACTGTTAGGAATCAAAATGGCTACCCCACTGACTTTTTGGGTGGTTCTAAATACTTCCGCCACTATGGGCACTGCACTGCACTGTAATACAGTACTTCCACCACTAGAGGCATTGCACTGCACTATATTACAATCACTGGGGGTAGAATACTTAGTGAAAAATAAAAAATCCAATCCAAGAAGTGTTCCTTCATTTTGCCGATGCGAGGCTAGAGTTGCTTAACTTGGTATTACAAATCATGCAGATAAGATGCTAGGTCCCATGTGGTACATATTCGTCCGACCACTTTGGTTTTTTTTTTTTTTTTTTTTGCTCGACATAGTAAGCGTGTATTAAAACATTCTAAAAAAAAAAAATCACACAACGTACGATCACGACAGTCACAGGTTGACTACTGAGCAAACTAAATTTCCCACAGCAATGATTCGACAGGCAATGCAATGCGATCATCTGCAGCCAGTGATAGCCAAGCGGGCGGGTCATAAGTAATTGACATGTTGAGTTGGGTGTGTCTTAACCTCCATGGCAGAGGCTCCGTCGAACCCAGGTTAAGAACCACCGGTCTAGATCAAGGGTGCAAAACTATGAGCCCGGTAAATGTGCAAAAATGGGGCAAAATTGGACATCAAAATTTCATCGGTCACTTATGGCTGGCTCACTATGGTGCAATGCACTTTTTTGTGCAAATTGGGGTGCTACCATGCCTGCCAATTTTCGTGGGACTAGGTCAAATGTACCGCGACTGGGTATTTATTTTTTGCATTCTGGGTGGCGCAACAGAGCAATGATATTTTCATCGTTTACACCGATTTTAAAATATAATTTTCACCAGGCCTCGTGGGTGGGCAAAGTTTGGTGAGTTTTCGTGCAGGTTTAGGTCCCCAAAAGCTTTTTGTGTGTGTGTGTGTGTGTGTGTGTGTGTGTGTGTGTGTGTGTGTGTGTGTGTGTGTGTATTAAAATAAACAATAATAATAATCAGCAGCAGTAGCAGCATAATTTCTACAAAAACAATCGGAACCTCACAGTGGTCTCTGCTAAAGCCCTAATAATCATTATAATTTCCACAAAAAGAATGGGACGTCCCAGCGGTTGCTTGGGCCCTAATGATCTTTGAAAAATCTGTGTAAACAATAAGTACTGAATAAAAATATGAACCAAGTATAAAATAAAATGAATAAAATGAATAAATAAATAAATAAATAC